ACATAGTATTTGAGTCTTTTAGTTATCCTGCTTCTTAGTCCGACATTGCATTAAGTTAGTTCAGCTTAATCTAGTCTGAGCCAGTCCAGTTTAGTCCCTGAAGCTAGTACAGTCTGAGATAGTCCAATGCAACAACGCACCATAAGAGTCCTAACCTGGTCCATACCTCAAAACTATTGACCATTTCACTCATTAACACGACATAGCACAATTTGATTGTGCAGATAAAACTCATCAAACTAGTACAAGTGGTGGATTGCTTGCAATCAAACCTTCCTTATCTCTATAGTGTATATTTTTGTATAATATCACTTGCAACAAAAATAAAAACTCTTCCAACAAGCTAGTAACTTCATACGGCTTTAACCACTTATTTAAACCTACTGCACAACATTTTTTATAATCTGAACCGACAATTCTCTAGGTTATCAATGAAAAATGATCTGGGCAAGTTTCATTAAAATTGAGCACCATCATTCAGTTTTCTGACTGCGACCTGATAAATAGATAACAATAAAATTTACAATAATAGTTAAAGGGCTAAATATTTCCGATTGAGTAAATTATTGTAAGAAGGATCTATCAATGAGGACCAACAAAATGAATGATTCAAATCAAGAGACCACTTTGTGGAGCGGGCTTAAACGAGTGATTAGAGTCGTATTAAATTATTAATTAATTAGCGCTTAAGCAATGTTTTTTATGCAACCTTTTAACTCGTTATCACGACCACACATCTCAATTTCACAAGTAGAAATCTTTAATCATATGAAGACATATATAGACTATTTCAAAATTTCACTCATTAAAACGACATGAGAAAACCTATGTTCCATTCTAATCCTGTATATTAATTGGGACTATATATAAAGGAGAAAACTTATGTTTGTCAGTTATAATACTAATATAAGTATGATAAATAATGCTACTTTTACCACATTATTATGGGAGCATTTTTCCTCATCATCATAACTATGGTGTATGTTCACCATACACCTGATCATCTGCCATATGTCATTTCATATAACTCTAGTTAATTTTCATCTTAAATGTTACTTTTCGAGTTTTGAAAAAAAATTAACTAAGGTTAAGGGAAAGGACACATGACAAATGATTAGGTGTATGGTGAGCATACACCATATTTTATGGTGGTGAGCGAAAATGCTCTCCATTATTATATCATATTATTCATCACCTTATGCGGCAATTTACATGGACATGCCACATCTTTAGTTTTAATTTTATTATCTGTATAATTTAAACACATTCTTTTAAATATATATATATATATATATATATATATATAATTAAAAAGCCTAATTAGAATTGATTAGGTCTCACGTTCCGTTTTCCAGTCCCTCTCACGCCCAATCTCCTCCCTCCTTCCCCTTTCAACCTTCAGCAATCTCCATTTTTTTGTCAAATTTTATTTCATTTATAGTTGATCATATTTGTTTTTCTTTTCATTGTCGTAAAATAAGGGTTAGCTAATCGTTTCATTGAACAATGCCTTTATGTGCATATTTGAAAAATTGGAGGAGTCAAAAGGAACAAGTTTTCTATCAGATGAAGGTTATGGGGTCACTATCCTTGAAAAATCCTCAGATTTGTTCTGCCATTGCTTTGCTAGCCAATTATTGAAATGGGGTGTGCTATCCACACATCCCTTTTTACTTCTCACACACCCCTTGTTAATTTATGCCCGTTGATCTTCTTCAATTCATCCGATCTGACGGCTGAAAACTAAAAAGGTGTGGGAGAAGTAAAAAATGATGTGTGGATGTCACGCCCCTATTAAAATTAATTGTGCTTTCTTCTTCTTTCTCAATTGGCCTTTTGTTTATTTTTTAATTATGTTCTTTCTATTTGTTCTAGAAAAGACGAGGAAGGAGGATGAAGAAGCACAAGAATCCAAGACAATTAGAGGAACCTTAAGGAGGGAGGAGGAGATTGAGGATCACAAAAAGAGTATTTGAGGACGACTGGGCGAGAGAGGGAAAAATATAAAAATTGAAGTGTTTTAATTCAAATTAATATCTGTTTCCTACCAAAAACTAATAAAAATTAGTAAAACCTATATAGAAATCCAAGTATACTGTAATTAAGTGATGTGTATGTCCAACTCAGTCGCCACATAAGGTGGTATAATAATGTGGTAAGAAGAGCATTATTGAAGTATACATCACTGTTGTAAAAATCCCCACCTAGGAGCTAGGTGGCTGGCCACCACCCCGATTAATGCCTAGGCGTTTGAAAATTAAGAAAGAGCACCTAAACCTGCTAAGGCGCCTGCATAGGCCGACTAGACACTCGCCCAGACCCGCCTAAGCACCCACTTAGGTTGCAACTCAATTAGACAGAAAATAGATATATTTCATTTTGCATTTTATTTTTTTTCAATAAATTGTAAGAGACTTGTTGAATACTTAAATGAACACACATTATATGTTTGTTCCCAATGTTTTCATTATGTTCCAATACTTCATAATATATATGTCATTCTATTTTGTAGTTTACGATGAAATTATATATATATATATATATAATGTATAAACTGACACTTATTTACACAAAATATAATAGATTTACTTAAATCTGCCCAGTCCGCTTAGGTGCTCGCCTAACCGCCTAGGCACTAGACCTCAGCCCGCTGCCTGACTAGCGCCTAACGTTTTTTTAGAACCTTGATAAGAATATTGGTCCTTTTTAAGTTTTTTCCTTGCCGTTTATTTAAGATGGTTAGTCACACAACATAAACATGATATTGAAAACAAAAACTGATTGACATACACAACTTGTAACAAACAGAGACGTTATTAAGAAAAATTACGTTCATGTCTTACTGAAACCATTTGCTGTTGAATATGCAGGACAAGAAAGAAAACGCAGCGCGCAAATTAACATATAGAAAACCTGGAGCAGAGACGTGGGCTAGTCAAGGCAATGTGCTCCTGCTCTACACCCAAGTTTGAATCTCCTTTCCCGTTGTTTAGATTAATTTAGCGTAGAACATCCTTAGTATATATAAAAATTAAAAATAAAAACATGGAAAAACTGGAAACCACACTTCTTAATCCAGATGACTCACAAAACCACATACTTCCCAATTCCCATGATTCTTTTAACTTTAATATCTTTTTTCTTATGATTAAATACTCTTAAATACTCTCAAGACTCAGTAGTGTGCGGTGGAGAATTAAAATGAAAAACTGTGATCAACTTGATTACTTCAGTTGATGACAGCTCAAATGTTTATCAAGAACACAAGGGAAAAAAAGGATTCACATGCAGCAGCCTTAAAGCCAGAAACTATGGCATTAGGAACAAACAAGCACAAACAGACACCAAAAAAATGTGAGCTAAGCTAGCAAACCCTAGCTAGCTACCATTGCAGCTGGGTAAAACTAAAAAGGATCGATGCATAATTGAGCCATGATAGGGAAAGACACTTTCATCGTTAAACTCGAAACCCGAAAACGGAAAGTTCCCGCCCCACCATCCCCCTCATACATTCCTTTCTCATGCATCAATTAATTCTCACTCGACTCCAAAAGGAATTTCACAGTTGTGAAATGTGAAATGACAGAAAGCAGAAAAGTTCATACATTTTGTTGAAAATAGCGTTTTGTCCCCTCCAGCTTACTCTCTCATTTGCCCTAATATTTCTGCTTTTATAACCTAGGGTTTGTGGGGGGCTTTTAATTAAGCACTTATTACAACTCCTTGCCGAACACAGGAGATAGCTAGGGTTTGTGGGGGGATTAACAGCTTGCTATTTTTGAAGCTTTTTGTGGTGTTCCGGAGACAAGAACAGTCATCTTAGACCGGCCCGCCAGGAATTAAGTGGCCAACAGCCAACCTGATAATGTAAAATTAAAATATAAACATGGGGACTTAAGACGTCGTATTATGGATTTAAAACAAGGTTAATAATGGAGAATTGAATAGCATAACGACAATTAGACGCCATGAGTCACAGGCTCTATATTCAATCCCTATGCTAGGAAACTAGGGTTAATTAATTAATAAGAAAACTAATCTCATTAGTTAAGGAAAGAATGACATAGCAGAAATCCACCAACCCCATCATTTGATTTTGACTCAAGGTATATTATAATTTGCAACAAAGTATTTTTTTCATGAGCTCCTCATGCACTGGCTTATCGACTCGTCAAATGGCTGCCCTAGTAAGTGGAATAGAGGAGAATTCCATGGCCATCTACTACTAATGAACTTTTAGTAGAGTAAAATAGTTTAATTACATTAATGAAGGTTGTAGAAAAGTAGTTCAATTTGATATTTGCAGCCCTGAAATTCTGACTAATAATGGCTTCTTTTTTCTTTTACAATTCGATATTCTAAAGTATTCTAATTTACATAGAAAAAGATTAATGCGACAGCAAGGAAGTGGAGATCTACTACTCTAGCCAACTGTTAGAACCCACATTTGCTACAGAAACAAGATTAACTAAGGTTATCTCTATGGATCGAACCCTTTTAAGTTTAAAAAGTTTCTTACCCCTTCTCATACTTGACCTAATTAAGTTTATTTTGGGCAAGATATACTTTACATATACGGGAAAGAAATGTATGGCTATTGTACTTGTCTCTACTAGATATTCAAGAATAATGTACTCATTAGAGCTATATATGATTCTCATTTTCCAACTTATGATGATAACGATTAGGTCTTCCATCAAGTATATTGGACTCATTCTTGAAGATTCTTTAAGAATAAGGACCCTTAATTTAGAGGCATTAATTAATCAGGAAATGCTTACCCAATTTGAGATTGATGATGTACCCCATAAAGGAGACCCAAAAGAACAATAGCTTTCACTAAAGTGAGGATGTCCTCTTTAGAAAACAAAAGGAATACTTGACCCTTCCAAGTGATGGCTATAAAGACAATCTAAACTTTGGATAAGAACCAGTCAATTTATAGTACCACCTGAAAAAAAACCTTGTCATCACAGGTTTAGTACTAAAAGCTTAGGACTATGACAGGATTAGGTTTTTCATGTGGAGCATGCAAATTCCTACGGCGAAAATGCACAAGCGAATGCGTGTTCGCTCCTTACTTCTGCTATGACCAAGCTGCAGACCACTTTGCAGCGGTGCACAAAGTGTTTGGTGCAAGCAATGTGTCCAAGATGCTACTACACTTACCGGTACAAAATCGAAGTGATGCTGCCATCACCATGTCTTACGAAGCGCTAGCTCGAATGCACGATCCTGTGTATGGATGTGTCTCACAAATCTTTGCACTCCAGCAACAGGTTTCCATGCTGCTAATTTACTCCAAACTTCTCACTTACACCTGTCAATACATAATTTTGTGCGCGCCATTGATCCATCAACCTTTCCTTGCAGGTCGCATACTTACAAGAGGAGATCGAAACTCTTGGGAACCAAATGGTTAATTTTGCAACTTGCCATCCAAGTAATAGCAGCAACACATTCACTGATCAGTTGCAAGTACTTTCACAAAATGGTGCTGTTGACACACAACATATCCAGAACCAGTTACCAGAACTACCAATATTTCCACACATAGGAACTGCAGCTGCCAACCAAGGGTTTAATAGTGAGATGGATATAGAGATGCCTCCTGTACATGAATGGGAAGAAGTGAAGTTATTTGGTGATCACTCTACACCTGATCCTTTAAAAAGATTTCTTGAAGGCATGGAGCAAGACATGTTGGGAAACAATGCATGGTCAAATGAGCTGCTACAAGGGATTTATATTAATTAGCTCTCAGAAAAATGCAGGAGCTAGTTCAATACGAGCGTAGGTTGACAGGAGAAAAACTTATTTGCAACTAGAGATTTATTCCTTTGTCTCTATCTCTCACAATCACGTGAGTGTGAGATAAAAAGCAAGTGGATAAATCCTCGTGTTCGTGCTAGAATTCCGTATAGGAAAAGGCAAATGTTCTACTAGTTTGTTTCTTCTCCTTTGGTTTTTGTTAATCGATTCAGGTTCTGAGTCGTTGAACCTTCTTAGCTTGAATATGTAAAAACATCCTTGCATTGCATCAGTTATGCGTGGCTACCCTATTTTTACCTTTTCCAAGATCATATTCAGCATGAAACCTTTATTATGTTTTATAATACCTGCGCCAAACTTTTGTAGTCAGTTGAGAGTGAGTATCATTAGGACTCTGATTACGGGAGTGTTGAAAGTTGATTTCAACTAACTAATTAAAGCACTTTTTATAGTGTTTGACAAAAATAAATCTAAGTGCTTTATGAAATTAGGAGTTTTGAGGCCTTTGAGGAAGCACTAAGATGTTAATGTTTATGAAATTAAGAGCACTTCCATCCGTTTTACTATTGTCCAGGTAGGTAATGGCAGTTCAATGATGTTACTGTTCATTTAAAAAAAATATATAATTGTTTTTGTGCAACTCTATATGTTTGCCATTGCCATGGCGAAAAGTAATGGCCTTGGTGCACAATAAAGTTATTTAATAATTAGCGAACATGTTAGAGTATTTTTTGTTTTGGAGTGAGAAAGATGGTTGGGTGTTTATAAAAGAAAAATATTATATATGATGTTGTCATATTTAAAATAAGATTGTGATTGTGTAAATCTTAGTGTATTTAGGGATATATTTAAATTTTCCTTTTAGCAGTTAATATCCTATTAGAGTTGTAATTATAAAATGGTAAGGATTTAACCTATCATACTACTATAAATAAAGGCACAATGGGATGATAATACAACACACACCTCAAAATTAAATCTCTCTCTTTCTCTCTTATTGCAGCCGGCCTCCCTCTCTCTATTCCCTAGAATAGTTTAGTCAAATAGGCCTACAACACGTTATCAGCACGCTCTTACCAAAAGCTAAGGAACTGAAGGATCGTAGGAGGAGGCTCTATTCTACAAAACTCAAAGCCTTTTATTTGCTTTCTGCCAATAAAATACGCTTAAAATAAAGGAAGATATTTGAAACACGAAACACGAAAACATTCCCTATGATGCATGAACCCCTCTATGTTTATATTTTCCTTCCGATATATATATCGTATATGTTTCATATATTTGTCAATATATATATATGTGTTTCATGCATTACATAATTATATTGCTACGTGGAATCTGAGAGTCAAAGCATATAAATAAATTAGAAGCAATTTAGGGTTTTCAAACCCTAGTTATGTCAAAAAAAAAAAAAAACAATTATGGAAAACTCTACGGCACGACCACCGCACTAGCCTGCAGCCCAACCGCGTGGAGCACGCCACCAAGATGATGTCGTTTTGACGTCTAACCCATGGTTGCAACCCGTTAGGCTTGTCGCAAGCAAAGACAACCTGACCTCCTTGGCCTGGGTTTGGTTCAGATTGGGTCTACAACACCAGCCCATCTACTAGCACGCCACGTAGCCGTTTGCTAGGCTCTACCCTCGCACCCATGACCCATCACCAGCAACCCATGTGTTGCTGGGCCTGGTCCTGCGTCTTTGGCCCACCTACAACAAGCTTGTTTCACTTGCTGGGCTTTGCCTATGCCTTGGCCCATTTGCTAGTAGCCTTATGCTGCTGGGCTTGACTTACCCCAACCCAAAAACCAGAAACCCACCTTCGGCTAGGCTTCCCCACACCAACCCGCAAGCCAGCTTTGGGCTGGGCTTGATCCGTGCATGGTTTTTAGGCCCAAACCAGCAACTTTTGCTACTGGGCTCACCCAAATCCCTCGGCCCGAGGCCTGTAGTCTTCCCCGTGGCCCTATGGTCTGTAGTCGTGCTGCAGGGCCATCCCTACATCGCAGCTAGCCCATTTTTGGCTGGGCCGCATTACCTTTTTTGACCCAACGCCAATTTAAGGGACATGTCAAACTTGAACAAACTCGATTTCACCGCTCTGGAAGTATCTGGAAGAAACTACCTGAAATAGGTATAAGATGTGAAGCTTCATCTTACTGCAAAGGCTATTAGAGCCACCATCGAGGCACATACCGACGACAAACTTGTCGACGAAGCTCAAAAAATTACTGCAATGATCTTCATTTAAAGACACATCCATGATGCACTGCAGACCGAGTACCTCGCTAAGGAGAACCCACGCATCCTCTGGCTTGTTCTGGTCGACCGTTTTGATCACTAGAAATACATTTACTTGCATGAAGCAAGACACAACTGGTAGCATCTATGCTTCCAAGACTTTAAGTTCATGAATGAATACAACTCTGAAGTTTGTAGAATCTGATCACTGCTTAAGTTTTGTAAAGTGGACTTAATCGAATCAAATCTCCTGAAGAATACCTATTCGACCTTCGATGCCACAAATATTGTCCTACAACAACAATATAGGGCACATAAGTTCACCAAATTTTTGGATTTGATCTTTGTTTTACTTCTCGTTGAAAAATAGAACCAGCTTTTGATGAAAAATCATCAAGCTCAACCCACTAGCTTCAACGCCGTGCCTAAATTGCATGCAACCAATTGTAGCAGCCACAAATGATGCAAAAATCGTTGTGGCCGTGGTAATGGGCTGCAAGCCCCACCACAGGCCCAAGGTCAACAGAGCCAAGGCCCACCCAAGGGAGGAAATTTGACCCAGAAATGCCAACCCATTACCCCTAAGGCCCCAAACTTCAAGAACATGAGAAAAGTTACCGTTCAATCAGCTTCCACTAAAATGGACATGTGCTACCGTTGTGGATCAAATGATCATTTCAAATGTTTGCAGAGCTACCCTCGAGGCCATTGCCAAGTATCATTCCAATCGTGAGTCTAACTTTGCACATGTGGATCATCCCAAAGATGCTACTACATCCATGGAGATATCAGATTTTCAAGAGGAATCAACTCTTATGGGCGAATAAGTTTTTATTCTTCTAGACATGTTTTTAGGGTGTTTTACCCCTAGTGGCCAAACCCATTAGGAGTGGCCCATAATTTCTTGGTTTATGATTTAATTTTTGGACAATTTTTCTAAGTATTTGGAATAATTTATTTGGTTTTGGTTTGTTTTGAATTATGGATAATTGTTTTATGGATATTATTTCTCGAATTGATTAATTGAATGAATGGAATTATATTTATGCATGTGAGCAATTCAATCAATTTATTTCTAGGTATGTCTAATGGGGAAGTTAGTTGTCTGGCTAATAGTGCTACCACGCACACCATATTGCGTGAGCGACACTATTTTACTAACTTTGTACCTAAGAACGCACATTTGACAACTCTCCCAGGCTCATCCAACCTAATTGAAGGATACAAAAAGGCTCGTATCATGTTGTCCAATGGTACCGTCTTAACCATTAAAGAGGCCCTCTATTCTCCACATTCGGGAAGAACGTTGCTGAGTTTTAGAGATATTCGAGATGATCAATATCATGTTGAAACAACTAAAGACAATGGCTCTGAATTTCTTTGTATCACTTATTATGAGTATGGCCAGAAGCGTATTCACGAGAAGTTGGAACGTCTCCCGAGTGGGTTGTACATAACAACCATTCAAGGCATAAAAACCCACCATGTGGCGGGCCCTGTGCCTGAGTTCTAGAGCACTTTACTATTTTGGCATGACTGTATGGGACATCCCGAACATGACATGATGCATCGTATCCTCAAATCATCATATGGGCATCATTTACCTCCTTACGTTGGATTCCTGCCATTCAAAACATGTTCTTTAGGGAAGTTAGATACTCAACTCTCAATTACAAAGATTATTCACAACCATCCTAAGTTTCTTCAGAGGATTCAAGGGGATATTTCTGGACCTATCCAACCAACATGCAAACCATTTATATACTTTATGGTGTTTGTTAATGCATCAACACGATGGTCACATGTTTGCCTGTTGTCCACACATAACGCTGCATTTGTGAAACTTCTAGCACAAATTAATTAGCTAAGGGTTCACCACCCTTATTATCCAATCAAGTCGATTCGACTGGATAACGCTGCAGAGTTTACGTCACAGACTTTTGACGATTATTGCATGTCAGTAGGGATTGAAGCGGAACATCATGTACACCATGTTCACACCCAAAGCGGCCTGGCAAAAGCTTTCATAAAGCACCTTCAATTGATAGCTCAGACTTTGGTTATGCGAACCAAATTGCTGATATTTGCATGGGGCTATGAAATATTGTACGCAGCTATGTTGGTCTGCCTAAGGCCCATAGCTACCCAACCTCATTCACCGTTACAATTGGTTACTAGATACGAGCCTGACATCTCGTATTTACGTGTCTTTGGGTGCGCAGTCTATGTGTCAATAATGCAACTACGTACCAAAATAGGTCCTCAGAGAAAAACGAGAATCTATGTCGGTTATGATTTGCCATCAATTATTCGTTATTTAGAGCCCTTGACAGAAGATCTCTTTACCACACATTTTGCGGATTGTCACTTTGATGAAATAGTTTTCCCGTCATTAGGGGGAGATAAGCATGCTAACGTTCTTGGAGAACGCCACGAATTGTCGTGGTATGTTCCCACTATGTCTCATCTAGATCCCCACACTGCCCAATCTGAAACTAAAGTGCAACAAATTATAGATCTTCAGATTGCTCAAAGTATGCCAGATGTTTTTACTGACCTAATTAAGGTGACAATATCACATATACCTGCTGCAAACGTACCTGCAAGGATAGACGTACCATGTGTAAGTCGTAACACTACCTGGGAAGGTCGGACCGTCCCCGAAGGTGGAAATGCCACAACTTCCACGTGGTCTAGTACATTGGTGGCTAGCCAATCATCTGCTCATAACCTTAAGTGTGGC